GGAGTAGGGGAGTTGGTGAGTCAGGGGAGTGACCTGAGAAGCATATAGTTTGCCAAAGTTGCGATAGAGTTGAGACTTCGTTCTGTTGCTACAGTCCGGATTCTGCACAAAAACGTCACTGATAACCTCCTCCTTCTCCCCCCTCCTCTTCCTCCTCCTCGTTCCTCTCCCCACCACTCAACTCCACATGCTTTTTTTCTTCTACTTTCATTTCTGCCCTCTTCCTCCACCCTTGCTGCTGCTGTTGATCGGACCCCCTCCTCTTCCTTTACCTTGAGGATACTCCAGTTGGCGAGCGAGAGGTATTCCTCTGCTTGTTTGTGCCTGGTCAAGGGATGAGCAGCCGCAGGCAGGAGGAAAAGAGCAAAGATACAGCTAAGAGGAGGGGAAAGTGAGGAGGGGCAGGAAGAATAGGACAAGGAAGGTCCGAATGCAAGATGGGGGGAGATCAAGGGGAGAAAGGAGGTAAGCAGAGGAGAACGGGGAAGTGGAAAACTGGCTGGATGAGAGACCAAAAGAGTAAAAGAACATTATACCTTCCCAATCCAAGATTTGCTTCTGCCAGTAAAAGGTAACAAGGAACCTAGCGAAACAATCAGCAAGGAATCTTGCGGAATGAAATTCTCCTCCTCACCAATTCGATTTTCCCTGACCCATAGATATCTAATGAGAACCGCAGAGCTTGAACTGCTCCGGGTATAGAAAGCTCAAAGTCTCCATGCACCAGATACTGCAAAGAAATCCAACACTCAGCCCTCCAACCTACCTCCTCCCTCCTTTCCTTCCTCCCTCCTCTCCCTCCCTCCCTTCCTCACTTTCGTCGCTTCCATCCGGCAGAGTTCGATGAGTGCCAGCTTGCTTTTACGCACGCTCGCTTCCTGCTTCTCTCTCTCCTCGACCGTGGGGAAGACGGAAGGAGGCTGCAGGCGGAGTCAGGCTGTCATGTCCTGCTGTCATGCCTAAGAAAGAGCTTCACCTGTCGAAGAGGAACCAACATCTGGGCAATCTTTGACTTGATTCCGTTCCTTGTGCAATGATGAGCTGCATGGAATCGAACAGGGGATGGGAGGAGAGAGTGGGAGGAGAGGAGCAGGAGGTGAGGACTACCAATCGAGTTCCAGTGTCGTCCTGTCATAGTAGTAGTATGGAACCCCGTAGAAGTAGACAATAATAGATGCTTGCTTCCCTGTGAGCTCACAGATGAACCTTTGTCCCTTGGCTACCGCAAGAGGGTTCAGCTTCTGAGATGGTGGAGGTCGAGTGGTCGCCATGATCCTGAAGTAGAGAAAGATGATCGTAAGTGTTGAGGAGCTCTGCAGTTATCTTCCACCACGCAGCACACCTCTGTCTCTACTTTGTTAGGCCTACAACTCAGCAACACTTGCAAGCTCCTCAGATCTTCAACTACTTGAAAGCAACTGTTAGATACCAGTACTATCGTTTCACCCTTTCCAATGTCACCCCTGCATCCACCTGCACTCTCCTCCCTTTCTTTCTCGTCATCGTCCTCGTCCTCGTCCTCATCCTCGTCCTCGTCCTCCCTCCCCATCCTCTTTCCTCCCTTCCCCCATCCGTGCAACCCCAACGGCTCAAGCATGACGGGCTCGCCTCAGCTGTCGCCTCAGTGCTACTTGCGGTACGAGTGGGGATGAGGGTTTCCTTGTGCAATTGGTACGAGGGGGGAAGAGGGTTGGGCCGTTACGTAGGTTCCAGTACCAGAGATTTTACTCAAACGAGACAGCCTAAGAGGCGCCTCCTTTTTTTTTTTCTTGGTAGAAATTTCAGGGGGGCGGGGTCGAATTTTTTCGACATGTTCATCGAAATTTCCTGGGTAACGGCCGAAATTTTCGGGTCAAACAGGGAAAATTTGGGTGGGGACGCAGAATTTCAGAGGGGCGGGGTCCAAAAGTTGGGAGGGGAAGCTGCACGCCTCTGCGAACATGGCGGGCTGTGGAGGAGGAGAAGAACGGGACATGCTGGCGGCCATGGCGGGAAGACCCTAAGGACAGCAGAGCTGAAGAGTTGTAGAGACCAGCAGAGAGCAAGTTCCTTGTGCGCTGTTGTTTGTTGCCCCTTGCAAAGAAGTTCTGAGCTGTGATTTTGGAAGTTGTTGGGAAAGGAAGCAGGGTTGTGGGGTTGTGAGGAGAAGATAGGGTATACAATCGATCCTTGAGGCAAGTTGAGGAAGAGAGATACTTCTGATCCTTCTGGAACTTTTGCGCCTTCTCTTGGATCAGGTTTGGACTCCAGTAGCCTCCCCATTACAGTTTGCATCGATTTGCCTCATACGCCAGCAGGAAATCTGCTACAGGCCGACTGAACCCCACCCATGTCGAAGCCTGCAACACAGAATATGAATGCTGATAGCGAATCTGAAAAGTCGACGCCTACGGATCCTTCCAAGAGTAGAAGTGGAAGGCTCAGGAACGTTCCAAATTTCGCTGCCATGGCAGCCGGCGTATCTGGGAAGGCGGAGGGCTCCCCGACAAAGACCCCATCTAAGACTTCTAGGAGTCCAACAAGAGGAGCTCAATCTTCTCCTGAGCATGATGGTCTAGACTTTACTGAGCCGATCAAGCCCAGGAGGCTGTACACAGATGACAGCAGCCGGAGGGAGGGCGACGAAGATACTGAAGACGAGGAGCCTCCTGTGGTGAAGAGGCAGCCGCCGAAAGAGGTTCCTTCCCCAGAGCAGCTGGAGTCTTTCAAGAATTTGCCAATGTGGGTCAAGAACCTTGAGTTCCTGACAGAGCCTCTTGAAGGAAGCAAATCCAGCTACATCCTCCGCAACAGCGAGCTGCTCCGTGCTTACTTCAGGACGCAGCAAGGGCAGATGTCCGAGCTGTTTGCTGTCTACGATAGACACCCTCCCAACACTGCGCTTGATCCCAAGTCTGGGACTCTTTACTTCATCAGGACAGAAGAGGGCCTGCAGGATAAAGCCATCAGCCTCAAGAGCGTCGCATCTGGACCCACCAAGCACACCTGGAAAATGGCGTGGGGACGGTTCGAGATCCGCGAGCTTGCTCGCCTTACCTGACATGCTGTCGGCAGAAAGACGCACCTGAAGAAATGGGGGATCTTGTATAAATCATATCGCTGTCGGCACATGTACCAGCCCAAAAACAGCCCTCCACCTTACAGGATGCAGGTACAAGTCAAGCCTTCACTGTCTTGTTTTTGCCTCTGATCAACTCGGTGTAGATTTACGTGCTGGAGGAGCACGATGTAGATATTTCAAGGGGTGACCGTTTGTGTCCTGGGTTGGCTCTCGTGCAGGTGAGACCTCGTTTGCGGATTCTTAACCTGTTTGACGATTTGCTGTAGATCTTGTCGCTGGAGCACGCTCCGTTAAGACATCGGTTTGTGCACTTCCTGCCCAGTCTTCATAACATCTTGATGTAGGAACAAGCCCAAGAGAAAGTACGAAGAGGAGGAAGACGAGGAGATGTCCGACGAACCTATCTCTCCTCCTCCCTACGTTCTTTCCACGCCCCGTACCCCTTTCACCCCAAATAAGTACGCGGCGATCCCTCAGGATCTGGGGCGGGTGAGACTCTCAGTATGTCTATCAGAGGAGACCTCTTACAAGGGCTGCAGGGCATGTGCACTCCCCGGAAGGTAGCGCAGAGGCTGGACTTGGACGTCGACAGGGACCCGCTTTCACTCTCAGCAGAGGCCCTCAGAGCTCTGGAGAAGCAGTCCTTGTTCCAGGACCTTCCCAACCCTCTCTCTAAGATCTCTCCCACCGATCACTACCAGGTGCTGCCAGCCCTTGGCCTCTTGCAAGTCGCCGGTGACCTTGTGGTTGGCAGAAGCGGGTCGTGCTGGAAACCAAGTTCAACCAGCAGCTCGTTACTGCAAGCCTTCCTGACCAGGTCACTTCCTCGCTCTCCCCCGCCCCCTCAGCTGACTGTAGCATCAGGCAAAGCTCTTAAAACTGCAATATGGGGAAATGTCCACGGTGAATTCACAGGCCTGCCGCCTCCCGTGTGCAGGATTGACTCTCCTCTGCAGGCTGTGCTTGCCGGTATCGTAACGGGCAAGCCCTGGGGTCTGCCGGATGTACGAGGAGTCTGTGCTGCAGTTGGGAGTGATGGTTTGACTAGATCGACATCTCGTGCTCCATCGGCCTCAGTGGGAACTCTACCCCCTGCAGCGACCTGACGGCGCTAGGGTAAATGGCTACCTGCTTGCCAGCTGATCCGACTGACGTCAACTCTGACAGCTGGGCTCACTTGATCTCCTTGTGTGCGGCCCATGAGGAGCTGGCGAAGAGCAAAGTACAGCTCGTCCCTGCTGAACCGCTCAGGGTGAGAAATCGTCTCTTCCTCTCTACTGCTCTAGCTCCTCTTTCCCATGCCCATGCCCATGCCCATGCCCATGCCCATGCCCATGCCCATGCTTCTGCTCCTCATGTCGTGGCTGAGCTGCAGCAGGCCATTGCGAAGGTTACAGATCTAGGAGGAATGTCAGGTAACGTCAAAGTAGGGGCTTTGAGAGCAGCTGACAATCCTTCAGAGTCTTGTTCGAATGAGGCGGGCACGCGCCAGGACGCCTTCGCTACTCCTCCAACGTCAGTGAAGCCGGTTACGAGCCTCAGCTTCGAGGACTCTGCCGGGGAGCCAGCGGAGAAGGTGGCGAAAGTATTGGAGCTGTGAGGGGAGGAGGGAGGACGAGGACGAGGACGAGGACGAGGACGAGGACGAGGACGAGCAGCTCAAGATAAGACGTTAAAAAGTTGCCCGAATAAAATTCCCATTAGATTGACTGCAACGTTTCCTCCTCCTCCTCCTTCTTGCCCCCCCTTCCCTCCCTCCCTTCCGGACGCCTTCCCTCTCTCCCTCCCCCCCCCCCTCCAACACCCTTTCTCCCGCCTCCTCCCACTCAGTCTCCTCTGCCCGCCTCTCTCTCTCACACGCTCCTCTCCTTCACGCTCACACCGACCACGACTAGACCCCTGCTCTGTGCATGTCATCACTCATGTTTGAGGTATGACCGGTGCTTTTGGGTCCCTTCGAAAGCAAGGACTGGGGGTAGGGTGGGAAAACAGCATGTCGGGATATGGCAAAGAGGAGACAGCGAAGCTTCGCAGCAACGTGGAGGATCAGGTGAGTGGGGAGGAGAGAGACGAGGAGGAGGAGCCGGAAGAGGAGGAAGGGGAAGTAGGTAGGTGAAGGAGAAGGAAGAAGTATGAGAGAGAAGGAGGGACAAGGAGGAGGTATTGTTGGGAGGATCAGGCGATCAGCTCGGTTGACATGTGATGGTTCGTTACAGCTTGCACGCCTGCTGCAGCAGCTTCAAGACTGCGAGGACCTGAAAGATGGTGCCATCTCCTCTCTCCTCGCCCCTCCTCCTCCTCCCTCCTCCTCCCTCCTTTCTCTCAGTCCTCATTGTCGCACAGATCTCGACGAGGACGAGTACGAATCGACAAAGCAGGACACTCTGAACCAGCTGAGGTAGATGAGCTGCCAGCCTACGAAGAAAGATCACGATGTCCTGCAGAGAATTCGAGCAGTCGCTGCAGAAGATGATCGCGGGGGACATCACTCTAGTCAACGACCTTGGGGGAATGAGATTGGCGATTCAAGGTTTGATTCAAGAAGGAGAGGAGGACAGGGAGAGGACAGGGACAGCACGAGATGAGATGGAGAATACGGATTGAGAGGACCAGGACCAGGACCAGGACCAGGACCAGGACCAGGACCAGGACCAGGACCAGGACCAGGACCAGGACCAGGACCAGGAGAAGGAGAAGGAGGAGCAAGAGAAGGAGCAGGAGCAGGAGCAGGAGCAGGAGCAGGAGCAGGAGCAGGAGCAGGAGCAGGAGCAGGAGCAGCAGGAGTTAGCAGGATCTCTTATGCTGTTGGTGTGCAGGGGCAGTCAGTCAGGCGTTTCGCACTCCCGAGGTCATCAAAATGTTTGCCAACAAGCAGCCAGCACAGCTTCGTCTGCGCCTGGAGCAGAAGTAGGAGGAGCAGGTACGACGACATCTTCCCTGCTGATCGCTCTCATGCAGGAAGGAAGACCTGAAGCTCAAGCGCATCACCCAAGAGTCCTACATGGCACAAGTCGTGGAGATCCTGACGGCGCTAAAGAAGCTGGGAGAGGAGGTGGCTTGCTCCTACCTCCCGCCTCCTCTTCTCGCTGACCCTTTCGCAGCTCAACGCGGAGGAGGAGGAGTTCCTGAAGAAGAATATGTCCCAGCAGCTGGCGCAGTTCGAAGCTGCCTCCTCCGGTGACACCTGACTCGTGCTCTGCGCTGCTCCTCCTGACACACACAACAAAAGACATCTCCGGCTCCAGCATACTCTCCACGGTACCTCCAGCTACTCTCTCTCTTTCTTGCTGCTCACCCTCTCTTTCTCCCACAGGCTGCCGGTCAAGTGCGAGCTGCCAAGAACTAACACAAGGAGCATGTCTTGTCTGAATGAAAGAAGTTTTTTCCTCTTCGCTCGTGCTTCCTTGTTTGATCCTTTTTCTTGTGCAATCCGGAGAGACTTTGAATATCTCAGTGCAAAGCAAGAACAGCAGGAGGCGAGCACCAGAACAAGTAAGGGTAAATAGCTTCTAAAAGCGTGATGGAGCAGAGGAGAGAGCGGTAGGAGGGTACATGGAAACAGAGACGACAGCACCTTAGTTGGATCGTTACATTAACAGCATTTGGGCAACGAATAAATGCAGCATACAACTCGCCCAGTGCAATCGAGTCCAGTCCAGCTCAGCCCAGGTAAGACAGGTTGAATTCAAGTCAATACAACACAAGTCTAGCTCAGCCCAGTCCAGTCAAGATATGTGAATACTAGACAAGTCAAGTCCAGTCGAGTCATGACAAGACAAGTCAAGTCTTCTTTGCTTCTCGCCGGGGATCAAACCGTTTGAGGATCCGATAGAAGTCAAGGCCGAAGGGCTCTGATCCCTGGAGATGCTCGACGAGGGAGAGCAACTTGGAGTTCAAGTCGTCGACCTCAGCGTCAGCCTCCTCCTTGCAGGTGTTCAGCCTCTCCACCTCGCTCAGCAGAAACTTGTTCTTGTCCTGGGCGTCAGCGAGCGACAACCTCAAGGCAGTGACGTTCTGATCTAGACTGATCAGCCTCGCCTGCTCTCTTCTGCTGGGCGAGCCCTGGGAGCTGTCCTTGAATGCGCGAAGTCTCCTTTCGAGCTCCACGTTGTGTCTCAGAGTGTTTGCTAAGAACAAGTGCCACCCATGAGACGTGCTCAATTCTTTGATCGCTTCTTTCACCTGGTTTTCTACTGCAGCAATCAGGTCACCTTCACCTCACCAGTCACAAACTCACCCGGCGTGCGCGTTCCTGCCATGCTTGCAAAACGCGAGGACTGACCGCTGGTATCTGGCAGGAGACTCACTGAGATGTTACTGAAGAGAGCTGCCAGCTCGTTGTCGATCTCCTTGGAACGTTTGAACTCGATCTCCTCGATGCCCTCGATCACAAACCTGATGGTCTTTGAAATCGTCGACATGGTAAGTTTCAGCCTCTCCTCCTCCTCCTCCTCCTCCTCCTCCTCCTCCTCCTCCTCCTCCTCCTCCGCCTTGACTGACAGTTTCAACGACGAAGCTGCAACAATAAACGCTTTTCCGATCTCCTCCTCGACCCCTTGCACGACTTCTTCAAGGGAGGACAAGGAATCGTCGAAGCTCTTGCTCACATGCCCCTCGTCGTACGCCGACCATTCCGACAGTTCACAGGGCACGGGAGAGTTTTCAATGACATCGGAGAAGGATCTGCTCTGAGACATAAGTTTCACCTTCAAGTTCTCGTTCTCACTCTCCATGGCAAAGATTCGAGCATACAGAACGAGCTGTTCATCGATATACTTGTCTATGGCAGACTGCTTGTCCGCTAGCTCAATCTGCAGGCGCTCATATTTCGCTTCCAGACATTGCGCGGTTGAGATGTCCAGAACTTCCGTAAAGTCTCCATTCGAGCTTGACGCGTGATGTATCTTTGCATCTTGGATACGATCATCACACGCATCCAATGAAGGTGTGTTAGTCGGCATGTTTGTTGTTCTCATCTGAGCTGATCGCACGGCACATTGTTCTAGATGTCCACCGTCATTGAACGGATTGCTGTCGACATCACCAGCTGCTTGGCTCACGTGCTGCGACAGAGCCAACACCTGAGAGCTCAGCTGGTCATTCTCTGATTGGAGCAGCGACATCGCAGCCTCCATCTGTTCGAGCTTCTGCTGTAGAGCCTTTTTCTCCTCGACCTGCTTGTCGCTTTGCAACACGAAATGCTTCTCCACGGCCATCAAAGTCCTGATAGTGTTCATCTGACTTCTAACAACCTCCGTTATGCTCTTCTCAGAGTCCTCAAAGAGACTGTCCAACACGTCCAATCTTTGAGATGCGTCGGCAATGTCCGCAGCAAGCAGCACATTGAGCTCTTGGAATGCCTGGAAGAACTCCAGGAGGTTGTCGCCGAGGAGCTTTATCCTCTCGCTTGAGATCATGTCTCTGATCTGTGCGAAGACAGTGTCCGAGTCGTTCTTTCTCAGCCTCGCGTTCTCAGCATTCAGGTAGGTGATCTCTGTTCTCAGCAACTCGATGTGCTCCCCGGCTGCCTGTTTGTCTTGCATGGCCTCATTAAGCAGAGCATGTAGGCTGTGGAGCTCACTGATGAGCTCTGGCATTGCTCCTGCCACCTTCTGCCTCTGCGCCTGGTCATGCTCTAACCTTGTTTCAAGCTTGGCCAGCATTGCAGCGAGACGTCTGTTGTTGTTTCTTTCCTTTTCCAGGCACGTTTGAAGCTCAGCTTGTTGATGTTTAGCCAGCACACCCGAGCTTTTATCCCTCAAGACGTTCTGGTCCTCGAGTTTGCTCTCCAACCTCTCCACTACCTTGCTCCACTCTTCATTGCTGGCCAGACGCATTGACTCTGATTCATCCAGCTTACTTTTGAGCAGGCAGACATCCTGAAAGAGCTGTTGATTCAGCATTTCCGTGTTGGTTCGAGTCTTCTTCTGTTCCACCAACTCATCACAAGTTTGCATCAGCAACCGGCGCAGGTCCATACATTCCCGTTTCCACTCTACCATCTCAGAGCATAAGCTGCAGCAGAAGTCTCTTGAGTTTGCCGTGCTATCAGCCGACATTTGATCCTGATTGTCAACTTCTTTGGTTGCTGTCAACATAATTTGTTCGCACTATATGAAGCTCCTGTCCTCCGTTACCACAACCGTCTGATCATTGAGACCGATCAATCCCGGCCATGCGCATAATCAGTTCCGCACTGACCTCTCTTCTTTCACCACCAACACATCCGCCTTGCAGTGGCTCCTCCCGACTCTCAAGTCTTCTTTGCCAGTCCGTGACTTGCTTGCCTCGTTTGAACCAGCACTGACTCTCAGTACTGTTTCTGCTGCCGCAGTTTGCTCCTTGGTGTCTGCCCCCTCGTTCAACTCCTTTACTCAGTCCCTGTCATTTCACTCTCCTTCTCTAGAGGCACCTTCCGACTACCTACTTCTTCTTCCAACTCTGCTGCTCCTGCTGCCGCTCCTCCTCCTCCTGCTCCTCCTCCTGCTCCTGCTTCTCCGACTCAAGTCTAGAGTGTGATCGCCTGCCCTTCCCTGGACTCGCCCTCGAACAACTTGTCCTCTACCCACCCCCTCCGGACCGTGACCCTCAACAGGGCCCCTCCAAGTAGCTCCTACTACCCACCCTCCCCCTGCCAATATGGTACGGTACCCCATAACATCAGTCAAAGTTGACAGAATATCGACGGGGTCCTCTGGCCGTCGGACCCCCACCCTGTCCGGAAGTTCACCGCGGGACGGTCGCCGCTCTTGGGTCCCGGTTCGTGACTGCGGCCCTACACGCACTGTGGTCAGCCCCCGGCCCGGCAGTCGGAGGTCATCGTTACCGGGCCGGCGGCCATGGACTCAGGCTCGGACCGTCGGGCAGCCGGGCTCAATGCGCGGAAGTTTACTCACTCGGAATTAAGTTAAAAACTACTCAGTCACTAGTACCGCCGACTCGGAACGAGTCAACCGTAGTGAGTGACGCCGGCCCCGGTGATTCAACTTTGTAAACTGGCAAGTGACTCAGCCTGCCGGGCCATACTCTCAGGCTGACCGTACGGTACGGTCACTACTCAATGACGGCGGGCCGCGGGCCGCGGGCCGCGGCGCCGGCCCGGGCGCGCACCGTACGGTCAACTTGAACTTGGCAAGGCTTCCGTTACCCTTTGGGTCGATGATCGGTTACGCCTAAAGGTCTGCATTCCCCTCGGCATCCCTGGATGGGCGGCCAATGGGAGGTGGTGGAAACGGAGGAGGTGGTGAGCAGCTGAGGACTCGCCTCTGACCACGTAAATGGCTGCCCTCAAGTCTGATTGATACCCTCGATATCGTCTCTTCTCAGCTTCTTTCCTATCCATCTGCACTCCAAGGGCACTAGCTGACCTTGGTTTCCTCCGATTTGATCGAGCTTTGACCCGAGGAAGCAAGGGTACACATCATGGATGAGGTAGCATCGAGAGATATCTCCTGGGATGAGATCGACAAGTTCAAGTACTACTTCTATGGTCCATCGCTATCCCTTCTCGTGCGGTTCTGCCTGTATCCTTTGTCTGTCGTGAAAACAAGGTTGCAAATGCAGAAGGATCCTTACTCGATAGCAGCAAGTGCACCCTCAGTGAACCACTATAGTGGGACTCTGGACGCATTCCACAAGATCATCCGGCACGAAGGGGTACGTGGATTGTTCAAAGGCTTTGGAGTCAGTACTGTCGGAATCGTGTCGGGGCAGCTGTACATCACGACTTACGAATATGTGCGCCATCATCTGATGCACATGAACGAGAGGAACAGGTTCATCTCTCCGAAGAGGATGAACGTGGTGAGGAACGCAGTGGCCGGGGGATGCGCATCGCTGGTCTCGCAGACCATCGTGGTCCCGATCGACATCGTCTCGCAGAAGCAGATGATGAACTTTGGCACCGGTGACTCCAACGGCTCTCTGGTCCACGTCAGCAAAGAGATCCTACGGCAAGATGGGGTGAAAGGATTTTACAAAGGGTTCGGAGCTTCTTTGTGCGTCTATGCCCCATCTTCAGCGATATGGTGGGGTAGCTACGGGTACCTGAGGGAAAGGCTGCAGAGCCACTTTATGCCTACGTCGCATGCCTCCAAGCGGTTGACGGAGGCATCAGCTGGAGCATCAGCTGGATTGGTTGCAGCCGTAGCCACGAACCCGATAGACGTGGCAAGGACGCGGCTTCAGGTGCGGGATCGATTGATACTCTCAGCTCTCTGATTTACCCAGTCCTGACAAACTGTCGACCAGGTGGAGGGGCATCCGCGAGATGGCAGTAACCTGCGGACTACTCTCCGGCATCTCTGGTGTCAAGAGGGGCCAAAAAGTTTGTTGAAGGGAGTCCAAGCACGCATCATGGCATCTGTACCATCTTCAATCATGATCGTCACAGTTTACGAGCTTGTGAAGAGGCTCAGCAAGAGGACAGACAAGCACTACCCGCATCGAACGAGCTTGTAGATAACAGTTGTAAGGGAAGTAAGTGATTGAAACTTTGACACCAAACCAAGAAGAACAACTTATGTCAAACAATTCATGCGCATCGGGGAATTACATTCCAGCGACTCGCAAGTTATGCGTTTCCAAAAATGGGAACTTGCGGAGGAACCTTGCCAGATTGGATAAACCCTGGCTGCCCGGTCACCTCACCAGCCTTGTCCCAATGCCATTGTCGCCTTACGGTCATCCTGCAATCAGATTCAGCGGCAACCCCCATGCACACTTGTCATCACACTAGTCCTTCTGCCCTCTACCTCAGTCTCACCTCCGCATCATTCGCCCGAAGTCGCTCGCAAGGTTCGAGCTCCCGTCATCGAGCCCCATCTCGGTAACGAAGTATGGATCATGCTCCCATTGATGTCCAGGTCCGTTGAGCACACTGGAGGGGAGAGAACTTCCCTTCGATCGCGAAGAAGAAGAGTGTTGAGCAGACAGAGACTTTGACCACATCCCATCGATGTTCTTCTGGATTTGCGCTGGAAGCGTCGACCCTGGGCTTTCTGACAGAGCGCTTCTGCGGGCTGACAACGAAGCCAGAAGGATGAGGTAGACACAAGATAAAGTTGCTGCAAGGAGACAGGCAACGACCTTCCTTCTTACATTGTTGAATGGCACCATCCCTGTGAACTGTGTTCTGTTCACACTTTCTTTCACAACCCAGACTGCCAAGTACTTCTGCTCTCTTCCTCTTCCTCTTCCTCTTCCTCTTCCTCTTCCTCTTCCTCTTCCTCTTCCTCCTCTTCCTCTTCCTCTTCCTCTTCCAAGCTTACTACTGGACGCTCTGTTCACCTCGGACCATGCCCCTGCCCCTTGGTGTCCTAAAACGGTTATGATCGTTATGAACTAGTTCCAGTGCAAGCCGGCACTGCCGCGACCGGGCGGCCCGGGGGCGGGCCCATGTGTCCGTTATACCAGTAACGGAGAAGAGAGGGTTCAACGGCTGTCGGGTCAATCTGGCATGGCAACGGCGTCGCTTCTGGGGCGGCTGGGGCTGGAGGAGGTGGAGGAGATGATGCCGGGAGGAACCAAGTCGCTCTTGGCGGGCTCTGCTTCAAGTTCCCATGCTCTCTCCGAGCTGGAGGCTGAGTCGCTCGACTACATCGAAGAATGCATCCTTCCCACCCTGATGCCAGCGTTGGTGGAGCTCGGGCTGCGGGTGGAGGAGAAGGGCTTTCCTCCTGTGCCAGGGACGCATGGAGTGGAGGGATCGTTCAACCCTGTTCGGTTCCTGGCGCAGCAGCTCGTTCGAATGAAGTCACAAGAGCCTGAGCTGAGGAAGGTCAAGTACTGCGAGAGGCTGCAGGAGCTAGCAGCTTTAAGGGCTGCAGACAGATCAGCGAAGCTGGAAGCGATCAGAAAGGCCCAAGAGGCCGCAAAGTCAGAGAAAGAGCTGGCAGAGGAGCTTGCGAGCAGAGCTCAGGAGGAGGAAACGATGAGAGAAAAGGCGAGGATTGAGAAGATCATCTCCGACCAAAGGGAAGCGGAGAGGAGCAAGGCGCAGGAAGTGCTGGCGGACATGCTCAAAGAGGATGCGGGCCTTCAGAGCGAGGTGATGGAGCTGTGGAAGAGATGCGATGGCAAGGTTCTAGAGGCTGACTTCTCGAGCGAGGAGAGGGTGATGGCTCTAGAGGACTCGCTCAAGTTCCTCGTGTGCGAGTGGCTGTGCATGAACTCTGTTGCGAGCTACGTGGCGGTCGCAGAGCTGAAAGGAAACCTGCGAGACGACCTCGTTCACACAGTCGCTGCCTGCTCCAAGGACGTGGAGATTCCGGTGGAAGCTCCCCCAAAGGCTGAGGAAGAGGAAGTCGACGGAGAGGAGCCTCCTCCTCCTCCAAAGCCGATCAGGAAGCGAGTGTGTGACAGGGTGAAGCTGACACCGTACGGGGGAGAGACAGCGTACGTCCTGCACAAGGGACAGGGGCTAACGTGGCGGAGGGTGCTGCAGCGAAGGAGCCCCCTGGTGATCCTCGACACCAAGTTCACTGACGGGCTTCTCTTCTTCGATGGGGAGAAGCGGCAAGGGACATACCTTTCAGTCCCTCTGGCAAAGAGCCGGCAAGTGGTGCAGCCATCTGAAACTTCCGAGGAGGAAGGAGAGGAGGAGGAGGAGGAGGAGGAGGAGGAGGAGGAGGAGGGCGTTCAGAAGAAGGCAGAGAAACCGGAGCTTCCCTTCCTCCATGGAGCGATCTGCGCAGACACGTTCGAGTCGTTTGGAGAGGAAGGAGATAGGCTCGAGCTGGGTGAGAAGGACGTGATGAAGTTTCGAGCTGCAAGTTACGTGCTAGGAGAGCAGCTGCTTGCTGCTGAGGCTCGCTTCAAGTACGCAGAGCGACAGAGAGCTCTCCTACAGCTCGAAGAGTCCATCGAGGCGAGGATAACTCTCCCCGTCTTCTGCCCTGCCCTGCCCTGCCCTGCCCTGTCCTGCCCTGTCCTGCCTCCATTTGTCTTGTCTCGCCTTCAGCCTTCTCCCCATGTCTACGTTCTCCTCATGGTTCTGTCTCGGACCTCGAGCCTCTGACGCTGATCTCACAGAACCCTGACGTGGACATCGAGGCTGCAGCCTTGCAGGGCCTCCGTGCGATCAGGAGGCTACACCCCTTGAAGGAATGGCGGGTCGAGATCGGCCTCCTCGAGACGAGCAAGCGGATGTGCTGGATGGACTTCATGAAGGACGGGAAGGAGGATTTGAAGATGATGGCGAGCAGGAGGATGGTGCTCAGCGACAAGGAGGAGGAGAAGGGGAATGAGATGGAGGAGGACAAGGACAAGCTTCGACTGAGTCTGCAGGCGATGAACAGGAGGGAGCTAGTGCTGGACAAGTCTGAGGTGCTGGGGATGGCGATCAGGGTAGCGGTTCCTGTCAGAGATCGAGGGATGCAGGAGGGAGGAGGGATGATTTTCATGAGCAGGGAGGAGCGGATGGGTCCGGACTCCACTGGGATAGAGGAGGAGGATAAAATCTTCCTCTCGAGCCTCGCGCAGATCCTTGCACGCTCCTTCCTCTGCCCGACCAAGACTGCTCATCGTCTGCTCCTCAGGACGGCGACGCGAGCGGTAGGACGAGGAGAGGAGCTGCAGGGTCTGTGCGAGGCCTCGGTGGAGATAGCTAGGAGGTTCTCGTGGGAGGCGAAGGGGGCGAAGGCGTTTGTTGCCTTCCTAGTGGAGGAAAAGCTTCGCTTCATTGCAGGCGACCCTCCTCCTGGAATCGATGTCGCACCTCGCTCCACCTCCACCACCTCCTCCTCCATCTGCTGTGGAGGACTCGAGAGCTTCCCCGAGCTCGATAATCTTCCTGCGGCCCTCCGAGCCCTCCGGACTGGCATCGCGTCGAAGGAGGAGGCGGAGATGATCTTTCCTCTGCTGGATGGCAGCAGGAGGGGCCTGGGCATCCTCTGCCTGTTCGGAACCAGCAAGGCAGGAAAAGAGCACAACGAGGAGATGATGAGCGAGGTGGCAACGGTGCTCTCCTCTGCCCTATTGCAGGTGACGCAGACATGCTGCTGCTGCTGCTGTTCATCCTGCTCCTGCTCCTGCTCTTGCTCCTGCTTGTCTACTCCTGCTCCTGCTCCTGCTCCTGCTTGTCTACCTCCTGCTCCTGCTCCTGCTCGTCCTCCAACTCGACCTCCTCCTCTTCTTTGTGGATCGCACTTCTTGCCCGGTCGGGACATGAGACCTGCTTCAGGTCAACTTTCGTAGGAAATTTCTCAACGCAGTGGAGGCTGCCATGACTGATGTGCTGGAGGCAACCCAAGACGTCTCTGCCCTCACACTTTCGTTCCCCAACTTCTCAGGTGCCCCCCTCCCCTCCTTCCTCTTTTTCCTTCTCCACCTCTTCTCCCCTCCCCTTCCCTGCTCTCCCCTCCCTGCTCCCCTCCCCCTCCTCCCCTCCCCCTCTTTGTGTCTTCTCCTCCTCTTCTTCTCCCTTTCTCCACCTCTTTCGGGTTTCTTCTTGTCTCCTTCTCCCCTCGCTAGTTTCCCTGTCGTTGTTTGTAATCCACTCCTTCCTTCGATTCCTCTCCTCCTGCCATTCTCCTGCCTCCTCTCCCTGGCACTCCTTCTTCGTTTCCGCCATGACCGATGCTCAGGGCACCACTACCTGGCCAAGTTCATGGCAAGGAGAGGAGGAGGAGGAGGAGGAGGAGGAGGAGGAGGAGGGGAGGACTTTTTGCAGCTCCGAGAGGGTCAGGCGATCTCAAGCAGCAGCAGCACCAGTCTTCTCCGCGAGTATCCGATCAGCTTGAGCAGCGGCACAGTCGCCTTCCTGGGTGTAGACGCCAAATCACATGAGGATTCCCTCACCCACGCTTATCAGCCTTCTGTCAAAGAGGTGCCTCCTCCTCCTCCTCCTCCTCCTCCTCCTTCGGTTGGTTCTGGTGCTTGCCTTGCGCTCGTTTCTTGTGTCTGCTCTCATTCGTATCCTCCTGCTCATCTCCTCATCCTGTTCCTCTTCCTGCACCCTCCTGGCTCTTTCTCCCCTTCTACTCGTCCTCTGACGCTCATCAAAGGTGATGCTCGAGGCCAGCAGTCATTTCTCGTGGGTAGCTGAAGAGATCTGGAAGGAAGGTCTCTTCCCCAACCGCTACCAGTCTCTCTCCATAGAAGGTTACATCCTCTATGCCCAAGTTCTCGTCCTCGTCCTCGTCCTCGTCCTCGTCCTCGTCCTCGTCCTCTCGTCCTCATGTGTAGCCCGCTGGCTCTCCTTACTCATTTCTCCCTCCTTCCCCTCTCCACACTCCTCTCCTCCTCTCCTCCTCTCCTCCTCTCCGCATTTCCTTGCTCATCACAGCATCAGACGAGTCGGAGCCCCTCCCCGTGGGCTCTTTATCCTACACCATCGCCGAGCAGATGTGGCTCAGGACTCATTACCCCGTCGCTCGCTACCTGCATGCCAACCAGCAAGTTCAGCTGCATGTTCAGAGGTCTTCCTCCAGCCCGTTCCATCCTTCTCCTCCCTCCTCTCCCTCCTCTCCCTCCTCTCCCTCCTCTCCTGACTTCTCCCTCCTCTCCTGACTTCTCCTGACTTCTCCTTTCTCCCTGTCCTACCATTTTCATCCTCTCTTCCTCCTCTCCCCGTTGCTTCTCCTTCTCCCATTTCTCCTCCTCGTTTCTCATAACAGTCCGCAGGCCGTTCCTCGACAACATCCGCAAGCCGGACTCTCAACTCCCCAGCTCCGTCACCAAACTTGTGCAGGGCGTCATGTACATGCTAGGCCACAAGCAGAGTGAGGTCGAGCATGTCGACTGTCACGCCGGCAGCTGACGCCATGGCAGGTCACCCAGTGGAGCAGCTGCCGCAAGTTGGTGTCGCGCCATCTCATCAAGGAGATGATGATCATGGACGTGCGGCTGCGCGTCAAGAAGCACAAGTTTCTTCTCGCCGCGGAGGCAGTAGAGAGTGAGACCTTCCTTCATCTACAGCTAGAGCTGACCCCTCCTGCTCCTGCTCCTGCTCCTCCTCTCTCCCCGGCTCCCTTGCAGCATTAGATCATCCCCATGTGGCCATGGAGGCAGGGCCAGCAGCCACCTCCCTCTTTCAGTGGCTTCTTGTCATGCGCGAGGTTCTCCTCCTCCTCTTTCTCCTCTGAGCTCCCTCAGGTGCCTTGCAGGTCAGAGAACAAGCGATTCGAGGACGCATCGACGCCCTCAAGCACGCGTACAGCCTTCACAACAAGGTTTGCAAAGGAGGAGGCGGAAAGTGACACGCTGTCATTGAGCTGACTTGCAAGCAGGGTTCCCCGCCGAGCAAGTTGCTCGAGGAAGAGAATCAGTGAAAGGAAACATTCTTTATCAACAAATTGTAAATCGAAGCTGCTTGCTATCCCTGCTATCTGTGGCTGTAGTCGTTCAACAGGTGAGCAGCATCAGTGTACATAAGACCAGCTCTTGATCCAGCCCTCCTCTCCATCTCCGCATAAGACAGGTCTTCCTTCTGAGCAGCAGAGACAAGCTCCAACAGCTCCCCGTCCTTCTTCCCTTGCGCCTTGTCCTTCAACACGAAAGTATCGGGCTCTGACTTGCTCCTCGGCATGGAGGGAGCTCCAGGGGAAGAGTCGAAGGAATCTGCCCTTGACGTCGGCCGGCTGTTGGACGTGGCGAAGGGACTTGCTGCACCTGACGAGCCGCTCGACCTCTTCTTGTTCATGGACAACCATTCGTTTGCAAGCTCCACACCACCCGACGCACAGAGCTCCTCGTAGAAATACAGTTCAACTTTGCTCATTTTCTTTCCTCGAGCATGTGCTGCCGCCATCTGGGAAGTGCAGGGGTCGTCCCTGTCAGACTCGAGGTGATTAGAGAAATGAGGTACGATATCAGCGAAACACGGCGAACTACAGAGCTTCTTGGTTTCGTGAGCAAGGTATGATTTGCGCGTGCTTCCGCTACAATCGGGTCACAGAGAAGAGTTCGAACACTCTTCAGATCGCTCTCCTGCTGCGTCTGACTCCTTCCCTCGCTCCTCACGCTCTCACGATGCGTGCTTCACGATTCCCCACCTCAATTTCTATAAAGCCTCCTTACACGTGATCTGCCCCCTTCTCTTGGGATGACTACCCCCTCTTTGAACCCAAAAGTACACCCTCCTTGAGGACTGTAAGGGCCAATGGTCATCAGTCATGATTTGATGACAGTCTTCACAACCTTCAGATCATTCCTGTAAGGGGTCAGCATGACCAATCTTTACTCCTTCTCCTTTGAAAACATCGTTTCGTCCGAGGGCCTCGTGATGACTGGGTCCGGGAGCAACAGGTCGCCAACACATCGTGACCTGACGCCTATGTTAGGTCAGCAGTCATGAGGGACTTCAGACTCCTCTCGATTTCCGCCGGAGCGGGCTCGGCAGCTGCGCGTAACTGGAAGGAGTAGGGAAGCTGGTGATGAGCCTCCAGGGTTTCTTTTAATGTCTGCCAATCCATCAGTGTGAGTTGAAGCATTTGAAGCAGTTGATAGAGTTGTTCGACAACGTTTCTTGTTGCTACAGCACAAAGAAGCGAACTTTTCACTGATGAGTTATTGATCACTTCTGAAGTGATATAGATGACATTGAAATGTCTGTACGCTCATCAGACGACCAACATTTGCCTTCGCAACGGATTAGTCATTCGAACGCAAGGTAGGTCATTAGTCATTCGAATGCAAGGTTGGTTCGCACTTTTGCAAATGAGTTGTTATCATTCAAAATATTGACATGTAATAATTTCGTATTAGACATGTTTTATTCATGGTAAAGAATACATTAAGAAACAGAAAGAATACTTCTACACACTCGTCCAACTAGCTGAGACGTTCTCACTCATCAGAGTCAGGATGAACAAGGTGAGCAGCATCAGTGAAGAGAAGTCCAGCATTGTATCCTAATCTTAGCTTTGCGAGCTCAAAATCTACCTCGGTGGAAATCTTCTTGCTTCTGTGCGAGAATGAGTCGCTCCTGTTCGACCTCACGAACTTTTCTCTGCAGGACTCAATGCTTGAGCGCCTTGCAGGAGTTGGAGTCTGGCTGCGCGAGGTGTTGCAGGAACTTGGCAGCGAGGTAGAATGACTGAGAGTCGACCGAGGGCTGGAAGCGCCGGACCTGGAGCTTTGTAGTTTCCTCATGCTGAGCCATTCCGATGCCTCTTTTTGTCCGCCGCTCATCAGAAGCTCTTCATAGAAATACATGTCGATCTTGGAAACTCTTGGAGCATGACGAGCATTGTTGCAATCCTGCTCGAGCATTTTGTTCGTGTCGTTGGTGGAGGGCATGGGTGATGTGGAATTCACGGGGGGCGCAGTGGGATATAAAGACTGACGGGGAAACCTGTAAACGTGTGACCTGTCAGCACCCCTCCAAACCGACTGCCTTGTGATTCCAAAAGTCATAAAATTACATCGCTTCAGAGCTTCCACACGTCATCTCGAAGAATTTCTGTCAGTCAGATGCCTTTTTGTGAGTACAGGAAAATTCCAGAAGAGGTCACTTGCAGGGATCACAATGTCTCCGGATATTGCTTGCATAGCCCTTTCATTCCAAACGCCTTCTTTTCACACCTCACAGATCTGTCTAGAACGACTCTTTTGTCATCGGTTACAGAGTCTCAGAGTGCCTTACAGGTTTCCTCGTGATGATCTTTACCACAGTTGAGAGTCTCCCGATCCAGTCGGTGTGACACAAACGTGCGCAAAGAAATCCCCGCCCCACTGCCAGTCTCCCTCCCCCACCTCCCTCTCTATTTCCCTCCCTCCCTCCTCTTCTTGTCTACCTCCTGCATCTTTCCCTCTGTTTCTTCTCTTTCTCCCTCAATTCTCTTCACCCTCTCACCCTCTCACCCTCCATCCTTCCCTCTTTACAACGAACATCTCATCACGTCATCATCGCATGCAAAATTCACATCTTCGTTTAATGAAACCTCTCAACACCGCAGAAATGTATCTTTACCAGGAGCTTGTATCCTCGGCTGGACGTGAAAAGGCCGTGTCATGGATTCAATCTGTCAAACGAGCTGAGATGAGGGCGAGAAATTCGAACTCATTCAGCACTTCAACGAATTCAAGTGGATTTTCCTCAAGGACATCCTCTACATGCAGTCAACAACACCTGGCAATGGTGATTTCCGCTGCAGATTATCGCAAGAAGCATGCAGATGGAACTTGCACAAAAACTGAACAACACTGCTGCACCGATGATCACCTTTTGGTGTCATTGCGATGAACGTATCAAGCTGCAATTATTTACGCGATTTACAATTCGAGCGATTGAAATGATATCAGCTTTGAGAAAGTCCTTTCTACTTGAATCTACTTTGCCTTCAAAGCGTTGTAGTCTATCCTTCACTAGGTTCAGAAATCAACTTGTAAATTAAACACAGTCAATGAAATTGAGGAGGAAAAGAAGCTTTACAAGTTTCACGAATCAAGCTCTCAGGTTTTCACCATTTTTATTAGCATCGATGATTCAATACAATGTCCAAACAAGCATCTCGTTTCAAGAGCGTTTCCCTTGTATTCGTCCTCGTCAACCAGATGTTTCCTCCAATATCTTGACACTTTCCGAGCGATTCACATCACAACGGTGCCCAAAACTCTACCAATGCTCAGCGACTGTCTTAAACGTATTATAAATCTCTTCCCTGTAAGGCTCGCCTGTAAGCCTTGTCAGCATTTTAAGACTTATTAGTTCAGGCAGCTGCTGACATTCGCTTGCAAACCCTAGTGGGTCCCGGACTCCAGGTGTCCGGGGACCGGTGATTTCGTAGCAGCCCGGCCCGGCCCGGCCTATGAGTAACGATTTTGTAACGGAACAGGATAGCAAACGAAGGTTGGCTATGCCGGGGACGCAGAAAGAGGGGAAGGAGGGGTTGGAAGGAGGGCAGCGCCAGATTGATCGATAGGAAGAGGATGAAAGCCTTATACTTGATCTTGCTCTTGCTGTGTTCGGTGTGCTCTACACGCTCTGAGCTCGTATGGAGCAACATCTCACAGAGCAACCCGCTGGCTAGCGCGTCCAACTTCATCTCAGTAGCCTTGAAGTTCAACCAGACAATCGTTGGCGACGACACAAAGGCTGATATAAATTTTGTTCTGTCAGGGTTCAACAATGCAGTTGCGAGCAGTACGGTTCAACTTTTGCCTATTTCCAGCGTATCTGCCACATTTCCTTTCTCGGAGTATCCAACATATGAGGTCGGCAACTTTCAGAACTCATCCCTTTTCTTTTCTCTGCCCTGGAACGCGAGCTTGTTGTCTGATACGGTGTATGGATTCTCTTTTGAGATCAAGAATCCTTACCTCAACAGGGATGCTTCGAGCATTTTTCTCAGCTTTCCTGGCGAACCTGGGGGCGAGCCTGTATTGGTGAACTCGTTCCTCTCTGAAATCTTTGGGGTCCCTGGCGGCTCAGCCCCGATGCGGATTGTGATACCGCTGTTCACTGCAGCCAACGCAAGTCAGACAAACGTCATGGCAGGAGGGCCAAACTCTATCGTAGTGCGGATAAGAAGCAATGTCCTTCTGCCGCAAAGCTCCAACTTTACGCTGTCCGGGCTTTACGGGCTTTTGCAAGAGGACGGACAATCGTTTGTTATATTGTCTGACGAAAACTCGCTGGAAAATGTCTCAAAATGGAATGCGACCGCCGCTTTAGTCACCGTGATTTGTAAAGTTTCCATCCCTGCCGACACGGTGTTCACCTTTTCCGTGAAGGGCATGAACAGCTATGCACAGCAGAACTCGCAAGATCTCAAGATCAGTGCGTCCCTTGCTGCAGGAAGGTATCCTGTGGTGATTCCAAGGACGAGCATGGCAAAGAGTGGCCTGTCCTTGTATGGAATCCCATCCGGCGCCAATCCTTTGAAGATTGTCGTCCCATTCTTCCTCAACGTCTCAGCATTCAACAGAATTTACATGGCAGAAAGCTTCTTCTCGATAATTCTCAATGTTTCGAGTTACGTCGATATCCTAGATGCTTCCACGTTTCTCCTTTCGGGCGTGAAGAATGTCACCAACGTGAGCAGCGTTCGAATCGAGCCAGCTGATGGAGAGTGGATACAGACAGAGCCTTCGAGCTTGACGGCGACAGGAATCATTCAGTTCTCTCCGGCAGCACTTTTGTATGCGAACCGTTTTTACTTGATGAGCTTGAATGTCTCTGTACTCGACCTATTCAACACTTCGCTGGCCCATATGCAGCTCAGCGCGGCGTTGGCAGATGCGAGTGGAGCCTATATTGGACAGATCTCGCCGTTCTCGATCTTGGCGATCGATTTTTATGTCGCTGAGTCTTCGGAACAGAGCATATCCTCTGCAAGTCAAAACGTTTCTTCGTGCGTTGTGTGTCGGGACAAACCTGAGAACTCATACTGGGAGGACTCGTGTCAATGCCAGTGGCTGTGCAAGCATGGTTACTGGGCGACATATAACAAGTCCATGTCGACTCTGTATGACAGTGTCAATTGTACTCTTGCATCTGAGGTCAGCTCTGACTTGCTGGTTCTTGGCGTCGGGTGGGGTTGGATCTCTTGTCCTGTTGGAGGCAGTTGAGCTTTCCACGGAAAAATTCTGCTCGAATGTGTGTAAAGTGCTTCTTGTATTAATATCATAAAGATGGTGTTATCTATTTTGTGCTAGTAGCCTATCCCCGATTTCCCGTAATCTTTCAGTTTAGGACAGTCTTCGTCATCAAGCATTGAATAGTGCGCAAAGTTCTCTCCCCTAACTATCGGCAGGATGACCTCTAGCACGCACTTGTCAGAGTCCCATTTCGCATTTCCTTTATCAGGGTTGACGAGCTCCTGTCGATTCCAAGTCAAACCACAATACCCCATTACAAAAGAAGTGCAGGAGTCTCACAGGAAGCGGCAAACCAAGAAGGTACTTAGGGGACTGAACCAGAAACTCGTTCTTGGTCACATCCAACTTGATCGTGGAGAACTTGGTGTTGGGCATCTCAACCTGAATAGAGAAAACACCCCGTGAAATTCTGGCTGCCTCTCTCGCCTTCCCTTACTTTCACTATCATTTCTCGACAGCTCATGGTTGAATTGTCCTTGACACTCCACGGCGCACCGAGAACATCATCAGTCCCTACTTGCTGACGATACCGAATATCATGCTTGGGCCTGAAAAGTCTACTCAGAACAGACACTCGCACGGTCGATGACCGAGCCACATAAGTAGCATCCACAGGTCAAGGAGAGCGATCATGGGAAGGGGGGAGAGTAGCATGCAACAGTTGAGCAAGCATTACTTCTCTCGTTTATCCGCCTTGCTGATCTTGTCCAGAACTCTATCTTCGTTGACCTCGTCATCATCCCAGATAGCTTTTGGATCTTTCTTCTTATTTTCCTTCGGAGCAGGCGCTTGCTTCGGAGGCCCGATATCACCAGGGCCCAGCCTCGCTGTCCGATCTCGCTGAACATCCTCCTCGTCTACTTGCGTTTCAGAGAATAGGTTCGAAAGGAGCTCCAGATCTTTTCCCTGCAGTGTCATATCAGGGTTTCTCTATGTGCTCCTGTGTGTCTTTCTGTCTGTTACCTACCCAGACCAACAAATCTTGAGCTGAAACCTCTTCTCCATCACCATGACAACTAAGTTTCATTCCCATCTTTCTCACGCCCATATCCCGTCCTCCCTCTCCTTCCTCCGCTCCTCCCCTCTCCTCCTGGTTCCACTCACCGACATGGCAGCCGTTGATTTGGCAGTGAGGCGGGCTCAGGTCGAAGTATTGTGGTACCAGCTGACGTGCTACTAGGTGCAAGAACTTTTATCTGCGATAAGCCATCTTTTTAGGTTTTATTTCTGTATAGATTTATTTTAAATACAGTTTTAAAGTTTAGAAAATATACTGTCAGAAAACATTTTGGAGAGATTTATAGAAGTTTAGTACAAAAATGTACCAGCTTTTAAATGTACCATGGCGCCTCAAAGGTCATCTTAAAAATCTTACTTTTTGGCCCGCGACGCTTCGCACAACCCAACCCTTGCAATCATGTCTTGCCGGCTGGCAGCTGCGACATGCGCTTTGTTGTTATCTCGTTGTGTTTGTTATCAGATTTCATGATGTACTTCTTGTACACATACTTTCCTCTTGTTGTGGTTGAGCTTGCTGCCCTTGTTTGATCCCTTTCACATCAAGAGTGTCTTCCTGTGCAAGGTTTGATTTCACTCCGCCCCGTGAACGTCGACGTTCGTGCTGTATACAAGCAGCTTTTAGTCCCTCGTCTCCTCACTTTGTATCTTCCTTCTGATATTTTTTGTGAATTCCCATAGATCAGATCCCCATGACGCTTCTCACAATTGCCCCTGCGACTACCATTGCTAAACTTAAATGGCAGGAGATGTTGACAGTGCTTCGTGCTTGCAATGCTCGGTTGATTGCTGTCGGCGGCATGTGCCCTGACAACTCCGATGCTCTCTACTCCAAGGACTGGAACCCCAAGTACAGCCGCAAGGAGTTGATCGAGCACGGAGTCTGGATGACCAAGAAGCAGCTCAGGAAGGAGAAGCGCGCGGAGGAGGAGAGCGTTCATCACCACTTTTCTTAAGGTTGTTTGCTATTGCTGACATCACTGTATCTACCTTCCTCCTCTAACGTGAGTCTGCAGATTGGACAACCTAAGACATGACTTGGTCTTTGTCGGGGTTCGTGCGCACTGGCGGAGCAAGCGTTGCTATTTTTTTCTACGATCTTGCATGTTTGTAGGAGCTTTGTGGTTGATTGATTATTAAGAATGAACATGTTTCTGTGCAATGCTGTCTTTTGTTTTTGGTGCGTTGATGTTCAAACTTGGTGATCTAGAGTTGTCCGGTTGACGTCATGGGCAGAGTGTAGTGCAGAGGAAGTTGTCTAATGAACAGTAGGACGCAGAGGTAGATGTCTACTGGACTTTGGGACTGTCGCGAGTCGAGTGATATCTAGCAAGCAAGGTGTTGAAGTTAGGGTGAGGGTTATTTTCTCTACAGTTCATGATCAGTCGAGCTCGTCACTGCGATCACTCACCTCCTTGACCAAGTTCTTGCCAGCTTGTTGAACACCACACCTCGTCGCGTACATGTCATTGAATGCATGCGTTTTCGTGACATTGTTTCTGATTATTCCTTGTGCTGCCGTTCGCTCTCAACTCTGCCTCCTTGCCTTCACCCACAAATGACGGTGACAACGGCACAAAACTATCAAGATCAGATTGCTGTCTGCAATTCTTCTCGCTCCTCACGTGCACCTATCCCCTTCCATTGTCATCCCATCCCATATTTTCTCATGCCTAATACATCTCATCACATCTCATCGCATCTCATCGCATCTCATCCCTCTCAGCTACCCGGCTACAGCGGAACGATAAGTGGTAGAGTTCTTGATTAGACCTGTAAGTACCCCCAGTAGAAACTATAGACCGAGGGAATGGAGGGGGTAGGGTAATATTCGTTTTTGTGGTTTGTCTTGTTTTAATGCATCCCAAATTGCTGCACGCTATCTGCAAGAACAAGAGGAGCAAGAGGAGGGAGTAGAGTAGAAGAGCGGAGGTAGAGCAGGGGAGGAGAGCGTATCATATCAGAGAAGATATTGTGCTCTCGCAGAGACGAGGGGAGAAGATAGGATGGAGGTAGAAAGGAGAATGGTCGCTGGAGCGAGAATGGAAGATGAACAGGCAGGTGAGGGCCCGAGGATTGAAGAGGGAGGCTAGTCAGGAGCAAGTGGACGGTGTGAACAATTTGTGTTGAGCGAAAGGGAACTATCATGAAACGAGCATGGAATTTTTATCATAGACAATCTTGTGAAAGCCTATCTAAACTGAGTTCAGTCTCAACAGGCAACATAACATGGCTACAGCAGTGGAGAAGAGCAATGCTGGTGCTGTGCAGGGGGAAGGGGGAGGAGGAGGCAACGGCAGCATCGACGACGGAGAGAATCGAATCGAGCATCAGTATTGGACAAGATACATGGAGGGCGTGGTCAAGGAATCGCAAAAGTCGCTGGATCAGCAGTTCCTCGATCGGGACTTGGGCAAGCTCATCAAGTCAGCGGATGCGATCAGACTGCAAACACTCATGTACCACGAGTATGCATACGGGACGGAGAAGGTCTCGACCAAGTTCATGTACCTGGGGAATTACTATGCTCTCATGTTGCGATACATCGCACTGGTGTTCGAGAAGATGAAGTGTCATCCGAGTTACAAGAACAGGTTCCCTCTCATCTGCGATCTAGGTTGAAGTTATTGAGAAGTGATGCAGTGAATTTCGCAAAGAAATTGATGCACAATTGAAACAGGGAAAATTGGCGGTACAGGTGCCAAGCCAAGTTCCCATAGTTGTCTTTTTAATAACAGATTGCTTCAGGAATTGGAGAAAGAGAAACATGAATTGAAACGACTATTCACAATCCAATACAGGGAGAAGGTTGGCTTGACCGGTGTAATTGGCTGTTCTGATCTGAAATTGAACAGAGAGCCTTGAAACAGGCTAATATCTCCAAGATCAAAGAAAAGGGTTAGTTTGACTTGAAGTGTGTGGTGGAGGTTTGTGACTCCCGTTGTCTTGTTCAGAATCAGATCTGAAGAGCCTCAAACTCATCGGAGATGCAATGGAATCTATGAAGATCAACGTTTCCACTGGTACCTGCTGGGACCCGGCTGAGTCGGGATTGACGTCGACATTTCCAGGGAATGCGATGGAGAGGGAGGGGCTACAAGAGTTGGTATCTGCTGACCGCACTCGTATCCCAGCAAGCATGGCTGATCCTCGTGCAGATGGACAAAGATCGTCACGTCGTGCAGCCTGCGGCTGGTTGTTGTTCTTGCATGCCTGTCGATGGTTCCCATGATGCTTCCAACTTGCCATCAGATTTGCCGCCGTCAAACTCGAAGCCCTCGGTGACATCAGCTCCGTCCGTCAGCGCGCAAAGAGCTCTGGGAGATCAGTCCGTGCGACCTCAACAGGTTGTTCACCTTTCATGTTATCTGATCATAACGAGTACACAAGGACAAGAGTACTTCGCCAGCGTCCAGGAAGGGGATCATCGAGGAGAAAATGCAGAACGATGACGACATTTTCATTGCGTTGCCGGTGTTCGACGAGATTCCCGTCCTCCTCCCTTCGCAGAACCGCATGAAGTATGAAGATGAGCATTGCTGGCGAGCAGCTGGCGGGGACAATGACGGATGCCTTGCAGGTTCGACACTTTCCTGCAGCACGAGAGGAGAGGATACAACGCATCCCTGATCCCACCTACCAAACCTCCTCCTACCTCTACCTCTACAGTCAGCGCTTATCCTGCTCGACAGAGCAGCAAGTACAACGAGATGTACGACAGGGACCTTCAGCTGGTCTGAGCAAACCGCTGCTCCCCTGCAAGCTAGTCATTCTGGTTCTACAGGCACTTCGAGAATCCGCCATGCTGGCCAACACGGAGAACATGAAGCTACAGAGGTGGCGCAAGGAGAGTAGGTGCTGTATGCTGATCCCGGGCAGGTTAAGAGAGCGATTGGAAAAGTTTACAGACTTCGAGTTGGAGGACGTCGACAATACAGGCCACTGTCAGTTCGACGCCATCGCTCATCAGATCGCTGGACGATTTGCCGACCAATACAAAGTCTCTTCCTCCTTCCCTCCCTTCCTCTCCTTCTCCCTTCTCCCTCTTGCCCTTGCACTGCTGTGCTTTCATGTTCTCTGCTTCTTCCTTCATCCCCATGAAGCTGACTACCTGCTCTGCAGGTTCAGCCCAGTGAGGTGCACTATCGAAGGGTGAGGAGAGATGTGGCGGAGTGGCTCCGGCGCAATGCGGTATGCCCATGTCCGCATGGAGTAGATGCTGCTGACGCGCCTGCCAGCATGTGACCCTGGACAACGGAGCTACAATCACCGACTTCCTGGACAGCGAGGACGGCGCGACGTGGGAAATCTTCTGCGACAACATCGAGGACAAGTGGTTGGCAGGAAGAGGGAGGAAGGGACGAGCGTGGCTGACGTGGACGCAGGATTAGCGCCAACCCTGTCTGGGGGAACCATCTCACATTGATCGGTGAGCAAGATCTCGGAGTTCCTCCCTCCTCATGCTCTTTGATCAGCCGCTGCCAACTGCTACAACCGTCCCATCAGAATCTGGTCAACCGCCCCGGGAGATGACTGGTGGCTTCAAATAGAGCCCAAGCACTACAAGGTTCCCCTCCTCTCTCTCCCCCTCCCCTCCCTCCTCATAAATCTCCTTACTCCTCCCTCTCTCGTCTCCCACCCTCCGCTTCCCCTACCCTTATCGTTCTGCTGCGGTCTTGGGTGTTGACATCCTGACTTGCCGCTCACAGCCCACCCATCACATCCGTCCCTTCGAGCTTGCTCACCTCTACGAGAGACATTACCTCTCGGTGAGCGTATCACGTACAACCTGCTGCTTGCTGATGTGCCATGTTCACAGGTTCGAGAACGAAGAGGCAAGAACTCCAAGTTTTCTGGAACTCCGCGATACTGAACAAGAAAGACATCTAATCCACGCATGCTCCTTTTCTCCTTACATGACCTCCTTCTTCCGCCAGCCAATAGATCAAAGCTTTTTAATCCTTCACGCCCTCTAAACCGACATCTTAGTAGAAAGGATGTCCCACAAGCCACTCGTGGCCATCATCAGGTCCGTTGACTCCGTCATAGTGCACGTAGAGCTCTGGGCTGTCAACGGCGTTGTTGCTGTCGTATAAGTCAGACTTTCATCGTGGTAAGAGGGAGATCTTTTGTCAAGTTTGAGTCTACGACAATGTGTGCACAACAAATAGGAACAACAATGTGCACAACAATCAGCAAAGATGTATGATTGCTACAACATTCATGCTGTCGTCTTTCGTGTTATCATAATATAACATGAACTCTTCCAGTACAAAGAACAGAGCCGACTGTCAAGGAATATGAACTTGCGAGACTGCACAGGAGGAGAGGATCTGTCTCTAAGAGCAGAGCATGGAAGGGAGCATCAGCTTACCACACGTAGAAGGAAGAGTTCTTGAGCGTGCATGCGTTCAACGATGGGACGCCCATGGGGTCTCCAGAGAAGAGTGACTTGAAAACAGGCACCAGCATTGCGCGTCCCTTCAGCTACACCACCCTAATCTGATCTGTTAAGCTTCAAATTTTATCTTTAAACTTGAAATTTAACAGAAACAATATCGATGTAGCTCTGAAATTGTTTTGTAGGAAGGCTGAAGAGCTGTCTAGCTGTTTGTCCTGGTTCCTACAGCTACTCAGCGCACGGCCCGGCCGGCCCGGGCCGCCGCGGCCTCAGGAGTCCGAAAGTGACTCTCACTAGTTCCAGGCCGGGCCGCGGCTCGCGGCTATCCGATCGGGCACGGCGCCGCTGTCGGGCGCCGCGGGCCGCGGCGCCGCGGGGGCCGTTCAACGGTTGCCGTACGGTACCGTGCCGTGTCTGAACTCCGGGAATGACAATACTGATATGACCTGTTCAAGTTTGCCAGAGTAAACGAATCCGGGAGTCCGGCGGATGTCGACTTGTTCGACTTTGAGGTGAACTGTGAATGAGCTCAGTGCTGCAGTGCCCCGTACCGTACTACCGTCGCCCCGATGACTCTGGGCCGAAATAGCGCAGTGAGCAGTGAGATGGCGTTAGTGGCGTGCAAGCTTGAAGCGAAAAGATGGGCCGCAGGTGAGCATGTGGAGGAGCAGAAAGAGGCCGCTGAGGGCCGGGGAGGGGAGCCTGGAAGAAGAGAAGTTGCTTGAATAACCTCTTCTTGCACTTCACTTCTTCAGTCTTCGATCGTTTAGACTCGCGATGAGAAGAACAGGTCCACGTGTATCCTCAGAGCTCACGCGTACACTGTCACAGACGGCGATGAAGCTGCCGGGCTTACAGCAAGTTGAATGCGAACTCAGATGAAGATGAAATGGGACGACGACGACGACGACGGTGAGCAGTGCAGATGCAGAAGATAAGACATCTTAGAGGAAGAGGAAGAGACGAATAAGAGTACGAGTACGAGCAAGATACGAAAGGTTCTAAGAACAGAACCCGAGACTGTAGACTAAAAGAGGTCACCTTGTGCATGCGATGTTCGCGGTTGAAGTTTACTTTCAAGAATGGATGAAACAGGAGGGAGACCTGCAACAATCAAACAAACTCTGACATCCCACCGAGGGGCATGCTGCTGTCTTCACGAACACTGGGAATAGAGGAGAACAGCGATAAGCGAGATACAAGCACCGAGACGACAAGGCGGCTGGTCGACAGGAGGGTGACTAGTTGATCTCCTGAAGAGGAAGAGCTTGCTGCAAGATGACAGCTTCTTTCAAGAGAATGATGAGGTCAACGAAAGTGAGCCCATAGGGAGTGAAGAGGCTGAAGAGAAAAAAGAGTAGCCGTGGGAGCAGGAGGAGCAGGAGGAGCAGGAGGATGGAGCAAGACCATGTACAGAAGGTCAAAAGGGCAGGTCTGTGAAGGAAAGCACGCAGAGGTGTGAGGCAGAGGCAGGGGCAGGAGCAGCCAGCAAGAGCTCCTTCACAAAAGTTCGGCATTGTCTCATCAACATGTCAGACCTATCACGGCCAAGGAAAGTTTCTCATCCTCCTCCTACTCGTCTGTCTCCTCAAAAGCCTCGTACTGCCTCTACCGTGAAAACGGAGACTCGACCTGCCTGCCTGCCTGCCTGCCTGCCTGCCTGCCTGCCTGCCTGCCTGCCTGCCTGCCTGCCTGCCTGCCTGCCTGCCCTCCCCTCTTCCTCCCTCGCTTACCCCTTCCCCGCGAGGATAACAGTCCACTTATTCGAGCTCTTCCCTCCTCCAGTCCCCAACTTGCTCCCTCCACCGTGGCATGGTGAGGGAGCCATTCTCGTGCCTCCTCCTCAGCTGTGTAGTGCTACTGACCCTCTCCTCCTCCTCCCCTCCCTCCCCCTCCCTGCCCCCCTGCCCCCCTCCCCCCCCGCATTCCCTAGGAGGGACCCTAGGAAGGGTTTGCGGCTTTGAGGGGGTCGCAAGTGCGGCAGGCTCAATGCCAAGAGAAAGATGAAGGCACGGGGCAGGGGCAGTGCACATACCGGCCATGCAGACAGCAGGAGGAGGAGGATGAGGAGGAGGAGGA